TTTTTTTTTTTTTTTTTTTTTTTTTTTTTTTTTTTTTTTTTTTTTTAATTTTTATTTTTATTTTTTATTTCTGACCTCTTGTCCTGCAATTAACCATACTTGGTTTATAAAGAGTGTAAAACTTAACATGTGTGCCAGATTCACTGTTGATTGATGCACAAAAGACTGGCAGCTGTGGATGGAGAGGACTAACTAAACTTGTGGTTCACAGCAAAGGAAGACCTATGTATGATGGTTAGAGCTGGTGTGAATATGCCCAGTATGGATTAGGTTCTCTCTGTGTAGCTCTAGTAATATATTTCATATCCAGGCTGGTTCCAGCTCATCCTCAGCCCAAAGGAACTGAGCAGCATCTCTGCCAGCAGCTTAGGTGCTTCCAGTCCTTACCACTTTTTCTCCTCACTAGGGAGAGCTATAAGCCATAGTGTTGTGAGTTTATGATGAACAAAAAAAATCAATATTTCCTGTAATAAAATGTCCAAGGTTGGGTTCACTTTTAGTCACAGAGTGGCATTAGTTACACTTGGATCAAAAGCACTAAGCATATCCCTGGTCCAAGCTGAATGAAATTGGCATAGACAGAGTAATAACAAGTTTCAAACCCAACTTGTCCATACTAATGTAGCACTCAGAAAGGCACCCTTTTATTCTAGATTATTGTTTGTTTATATGTGTGATCAGCTGTCAGCATTTTTGAACCCAGTCAAATGCTGACCATCTATTTCAGCTTGGTGTGCAAGTCCTCCTCTGCAGGAGCCATCTGTTCATCGTTATGTGGATTTTTCTTCTGTGCCATTGTAAATTAGGGAGTATCGGCTGTCTATCATTATTTAGCACATGGATTCAAAAATGACAAAGTAAAGACAAGCATCTGACGTGCAGATGACAGCACTCAGCAGAGATAAGGCCTCAGTACCCACACTCTTTTTTTCTTCAAACAATAATTCTCTATTTTCTTTTTTTTTTTTCCTTCATAATGGTAAGCTTTATAAAGAATAAATTATTGTATTTTAAGATGTGGTGAACCAGCAAAGCTACTACTGCTATGAAGGGATGTTGCAGGAGCAGGATTGAGATCTTTCTTTGTAACCAGAATTACCTTTTAAATTAGAAGGGCACCGAGGCAGTAAGAAGATACCAGAAAGTTTAATTCACAATTCAACAAGTGAAATAAAACATCCCTCACTTCTGGAGGCTGGTGGTCAGGAAGTGTTTGGTTAGATGATGAGTGTAGTATGCTTACATAATTTTTCAGTTTAATACAGGCTTTCATAGAAATGTTTCCTGTATGTCAAATTTGGACTTAGATTCCTCAGTGATCTTTGGGCAGTCAAGAACAATTCAAAAATTGGGTGCCCTACCTTGCAGCAGTTCTTTGAGGGTGTTGTATGGACAGCCATGAGAATTTGAGTATTTCTTTGTAATAAAAAAGCTCAGTGTTATCCTTTGACATTCTGAAGAGCAGCAGAATGCGTAAGTTAACAAGAGGAAACTGATGCCATTTTCTTGTTTGATTTTATGTCCAGGTGCTTTGGAGTGATTTTTTTTTTTTTTAATAAAAGAAATGTGGCAATCCCTCCATAGTCTCATCTGCCTGTGCTCTTCTCTAGGAAGAAATTGCACAGCCTACCCATTTGACCTGTTAGTCCTATGTGTGTCCTGCACTTTTTTTTTTTTTTTTTGCAGTGCAACCTTCTTCTGGAAATGAAACCAAGAAGAATTGGGAAATAGAAGTAAATGCTGTAATTCAACCAGCAACAGATACTGGTGTGCTGTTCGCTCTAGTTACAGAAGAAGCATCTGTCCCTTTATCACTGTCTCTGATTGACTATCATTCCACAAAGAAACTGAAACAACAGGTACAGACATAAGCATTTTTCTAGAGAAGGTTCCTTGCTGTTTTCTAGGAACTGAAAGTCATTTTCAAAAACAGTTGTCAGGTTTCCTGCCTGCCTGCTTATTTGCCCCACCAGTTCAGAACATGGTCTGAGACAGCAGTGCTTGGCTGACACCGAAGTTCTGCCTCTCGTGGGTGTGTGTCAGACACTAGTAGGGGGCTCTTTGCAAATGTGCTCTAGGAAAAAGATGGAACTGCTCTCTTGAATGCAGGCATATTTTACTATTTTTTTCTGGCACAGAAGCTGTTTAGTGCCATAAACCAGAGATTTCCATTCTCTGGAGCTCATCAGTAACAGTCCCAAAGTAGCCAAGGCTTTAGGTGTCACTCCAGGTGTTGCGAAAGGCCAATTATGATGGAATGCTTGAGCTACTATTTAATAGTATTCATAATAAAGGGCTAGATTCTGTCATTTCACAAGGGTAAACCAGGAATGATTTCACTAAAACCCATGAGCCAACTTTTCATCTGTAGTCAGCCGACAGCTCCAATCAGTTTGGTTCCAGTGCAATGTAACAACTTTTGCAAGACCCACTAAGAATTCTCTCTGAGAATTGGTTTCAACCAGTAATTAGTCCCACTGGTTCACTAGTTTTTCATCTATGCAAATGAGTTCAGGGCACAATCAGCAATAGTAATAAGCCTAATTCTCTGGTGGTTCTGCAAAATCTTTGTAATGAAGGCCACAGTGGGGTTATCCTGGTACTGGATTAGTGTGTCTGGTATATTTCTGCTCACTGCCTTTTCTTCTTTTTTTCCCCTGCTGTTCAGTTTATCACTGTGGCCTTGGAGAACATAGTTGTGTCCCGACTGGCAATAAATCTCTGTGATAAGAAGGAACACGCTGTGGACGTCCTCCTCAAGAAAGATCACTTATCCCTGAAGGTAGATGGGATGGCAGGAGAGAGTGAACTAAGCATCTCTGAGTTAGAGGACATTCTGTCCATCTTGGAGAGTTCTTTGCAGTCACCGGTGAAAACATACGTGGGAGGATTGCCAGGTGAGTCTCCTGTTTCGTCCCATGGACCACAGGCTCCCAACTCACCTTGCTGAGCTGGAAGTCAGGAAAACTGTTTCCATTTGTGCAAGTTGTGAGCCTCCTTCTCTATTTCTGCTTAAGCAGGCTTTGTCTGCAATTCAGGCACGTGAGCATAACAGATCTGGAGTTGGACTTTTCTTAAAGACAGTGTCCTTCTGAGGACAGTGGGAGACAAAAATAGAGGAGTTTTGCTTGTTTAGCAGTAGGAATGATTTATCTGACAGATAGCTGTAAGTAGGATCATTATCAGAAGCCTGGTAAAATCCATAGGAGCTGGACCACAGGCCCCTCCAGTGCTTCCATTAATATAATGAACCTGTGAGAGCATTCCTTGAGAGAAGTACCAGGGCCTCACATTGTTTTGACTGAAGCTTGGGAAGCCTAGTGTGGTGATTCTCCCTAGCTGATGCCTCTTTGAACTGATCGCAGCACTACACAGTTAACAGATTGCCTCCCAGCAAAGGATATGTAGGGCCCAACCAAGGCGTTACCACCATTTATAGTTTCTCTGGCTTTTCAGCAACAACAGGGCTTCTTCTGAGAGGTCAGTTTGCTCCTCTGTTCTGAACCTGGAAGATCAAACTTTCATCTGAATTGTGAATTTTTGGCCAAGTTTGGGAGTTTGTTTCTTGTTCTGGCTGAACTGGTTTATCAGTCCCTTCTGCTGAGGAATGCAGTTAAGAAAACTCTTATGTCTCTGATGAACATGATGCCAGCATCTAAGCAAAATCTTGCCCTTACTTGCCCAAGCAAGGAATAGGCACAACATTGGCCTCTTGGTAGGTGCTGAAGCAATCAGACTGGAACAGGGTGGCTGAGGTGCCACGTGTGCCAGGACACACAACGTGGCTTTTCTCACCATGAACAAGAGTTTAAAGAGTATTTATGCTGATGATGTAAATGGCTCCTAGTCATACCTAAAAGGAGGAGACCATGTACTCTAGGACATTCACTAATTGTCAGAAACAAGCTTAAGCCCTGTACATGGCATTTTCCGGTGTCAGATTGAATTGTCCAAGCTGGCCATTGCATAGGCAAGATTAGGACACCTACTTTCTTTTAAGTAGCTCTCAGATGCACAGCAGAGGGTTTCATGGCTCAGAAAACAATTCCATTCTGTCCCTGTCCCAAGTTCTCTATGGTTTGGTTAGACAAACTGTGCTGGGTGAAGCACAGTTTTAATTATCCAGAACTAAGTGTGAGATACCATAGCTATGGCTGTTTAGACCCACCTGGCATCCGGAGGTTTAGCTACTTTTTCCCCCCTTTGATCTGTTCTGCTCAGTATCAGGAATTTCTGCCAGTGGTCTGCATTTGCCATTGAGAGGAACACAGCTCTTGCATCGAGAAACCTTGTCATTTGTCAAACAAATAAACATTTCAGCACTTCAGTTGGATTAATCATTCTGGGTTAAATAACTATACCACATGGTCAGATCTAAGTGAATTTGGCTTCTTCAGATTTTGAAAACATTACGTAGTTTTTGGTTTTCCTGGCTTACATACCCAATGGAAAAGAACAAAGTATAGTGGTCACTCTTAATGTCTTTATTCCATTTGCCGCAAATAAAGAAAGAATTCTGGGTCCAAATATGTAATATGTCCCATCCTCAGTACAGCTAATATTGCTCATATTCCCAGATGTGGAAGAAATACTATGTAGAGTTTCAAGAGATAAGAGGGAAGGTGTAGGCATTTATTACATTTTCTGTGGTCTTTTCAGTTCTGGTAAATCCTGAATTATGTAATTTATGTGATACATAGGTGTTTTTTCAGGAAATGTGCGTTCCACCAGGTGAAGGAGTTTTTAAACTAGTCTTCCGAATCTTTACAGGACCACATTTCAGACAGATCCATTTCTAATCATAACAGAAAATTAAATATTTCAACTGATTTACAACTGTAACATGAAGAAAAAAAAATTAATTATTTTTGGTAGTATCTTACAGATTCATCTGAAAGCCCACACTGTCTTTCAGTCAGCCCTGTGGCACATGTAACAGAAATCTGCATGATTCCTTAGATGAGTCTCCCAGGTTTTAAGCTACAACTTCAACTTCTTCTGCATCAAAATTTAATTTACATTTATGTGGGGTGTTACATAGATGCCCCCTTCTTTTAAGCAGACTTCACAGATAAAATTTAGTGAATGGGGAGGAATAGGAAATAGGTAACACTGTTAGTTTAAGCAACTACTGAGCAATATATTTCTCACCTAGGAAGGTGAAAAATTTCTAGTATCTCTTTGTGGCTTACAGATTCCCCACAAACGTTCTTTCTCTCACTCAGTCCTAGATACACTTTGGGCTGTGTCTGATCACATCAGCCTCAAATTTGGCCCTGCATGTGTCCAAGCAGAACCTTTTAAATTTCATATAATCTTGGGTCAACAGAACAACCTATTGTTCAAGTTGTCCTTGCTTCGGTGTAAAGATAAGGGGTTTATTTAGCTACCTGCATCACTGTGAAGTTAAATAATCTCTGAGACATTCATTATTTTCCATTGCACAACCAGTTTGATTGGGTCAGCTTTGGGTTGTAAATAAACTAATGACCTTTGGGGAAGGGTAGAGGACACAGCTCACATAAATTTTCATGTTGTTATGTTACTGGGGTTTTTTGTTTATTTAAGGTCAGTTAGAGAAGCTGGTAGTAAGACTGACTAATTTCTCTAGTCTGTTGGACTGTACTTGGTGTCTTCTTCCTTGCTATCTGTTTTCTGCCTCTGATAAACTGAGTAAAAGAATGTCACCGGTTAATCTCCATAGAAAAAATTAGTGTCATTAGTCTGACCAACTCAGCAGATGCATTCCAACACCTTTCTGGTGAAGGCCAGCAACCTCCTTGCGCTGATACCTAGCATAAGCATGGTAAAGATGAGTCCAGCAAGTGATAAAGGCTGCGTATAAGAGGTGCTTTCCTGTCTTAAAGTTTTTTCTGTAATCTTCTGGCAGCTATTTTGAAGAATGAGAGCATTAGAGGAAGGTGTAACAACTACAGTAATGACAAAGTAGAGGGTTCAGAGATAGAGGGGGGAAAACATTGAGATGGAAAGCAGTGTGAACACTGTGCAAGGGGAGTGAAGCCTTGCTGCTGTGCAGCACGTGGTTTTATCAAGACTGGAGGCCTTGCAGAGACACAGAGCAGCTGAGGAAGGGTTCATCCTGGGAGAAAGGCTTTTGTGCACCACAGCAGATGGTGTTTTCCCCGTGTCTGGGATTGTGCTCTTGCCTTCTGGTGAGAAAGGCGGGGGGAAGTAGAAATCCTGGGGTGGAAAAGAGGTAAGCTTAAATTCATTGAAGTGATAGTCATCTGAGCATAGGTAGGGCAGGTATTTATTTAAACCAGCCATGAGAGATGTTTGTCTCCTCTTTCCCGCAGATGTTCCTGTCACTTCTACTCCGGTCACCGCGTCCTACCATGGCTGCATGACTGTCAAGCTGAGCAACAAGGCACTGGACTTAGATGAGGCTCTCTACAAGCACAGTGACATCACCTCACATTCCTGTCCTCCAGTTGAGGCAGGCCCGTAGGTACCACTACAGTGCGAAAGTTTTATACTCAGAAACTTTCAATGCTTTTCTTTTTTTTTAAAGATATAAATTATTCAGATCTACCGCACTGCGTGTATAGTTTCTCTTAAACACTGAAGTTATGTAGGAGCTACTGATCTTTATGTCAGATTGATTATTGAAATACTCTTTGCTTTGAGGTTTAAAGGTTGTAATATATTTGTAAATAGTTCAGAAGACTAATATTAAATAAGGCAGAAGTACAGAATATACCAAAAGTGAATGTTATCTTTAGGCCGTAAGAGACAGTTTTATCTGTAATGTGCAAACTATGGTAATATATCAGTGTGGACTGGAAGAAAAATAATAATTCTGTATAATTTTTTATTACCAAACACTGCTTTCTGATTTGCAAAATATGAGAGAATAAAATATTTACATACAAGTTTTTAATTTACCTGTACTGAGATTATTCTGTATTCTGGTATTTGGAGATAATGACTCAGATTATGCCTGATGTGGAGATTAAAGTAGTTGGGGGTGCTGTTTGGTTGGTTTAGGGTTTTTTTGGAGGTTGGGGGGGTTATGTGCTTATGTCTGTATTATATATCTTCTCAGCTGGAGAGCAGATGGTAGCTGCTGTTCTTACTGCTAGAATTTCTCTTTCTGGTACCTCCAAAAGAAGACTCAGTTGTGACCTTTAGAAAACCTTTTGATCAACAGAAAATGGAGAACAAAGTTGGGTCACGGGAAACATTTAGAAGAAACGACTCAATAAGTTGAAAGCCACGTGGCTTTTTTGTCAGTAGCTACTGAAACAAATGATGAGGTGTTGAGAACTGGGGAATATTATCTGGTGATGACATATTTTTGCTGCTGAATTTTTAAGTTGGCTCACTCACTGTGACTGTAGTGGGAGCAGAAAAGCTTGAGCTGTGAGAGTTAACCAGGCCGAACTGCAGTGAGGTGGGAATACACATGAGGGTTTACTCAGGAGAGGTTGTAGAGCCATAAAGTGCACTCAGCTTTTAAGCTGTGCTTGTGAAGTTGGGCTGGGCTTTGCCTAGCCTGCTCTGAGCCACTTAAATCTTGCTTTATTTGGTCCTTGTTTTGCACCAGATTAATAAACTGAGTAATGCAGGTGTATGCTGTGGTGCAAAATCCAAATACCAGGTGGCTAATATTACACCATGCTTCAGAGGGCTAATGTGGAAAAGGTCTAATTCTACAAGGTCTTTTATAAATTATTCCTGGTCATTCAGGTCATGTTTTTCCTAAGCAAATATGGAGATGGCACATTAGTCTAATAATCCACATGTCTGGCAACATCTGTGACCAAGCTGTGAAGATGTAACTGTCCCAGAGGAAAAGATGAAAGAGTGGGAAGACTATCCCAAGCATATTTTCTGACAAGGATCGCTGCTTTATTTAGCAGAGAAGAGGAAGGTACTCTATTAGCCATTAGAGAGCACAGCATCATAGCTCCATGTCATGACCGAATCAATCAGCAGTAATGCAGTAGGGAAGAAAAGAACTTCATCACTTTGAACTAACCTTCTCATTTATACTTGGAGAAGGACCTGTCAAAAAACTCTTTACACTTAGGTCTGACCAGACACAGATTTGAAAGGGAAGTTTCTCACTGGACAGTAATAACTTGTTGGCAGAGTGCACGTGGATAGAAAAACCAAGTAGTAGTTCTAGTTTTTGCTTTTTTTGACTGAGCAAGGAAACCATGTTATTCCTGAGAGTGCTTTATGTTAGAGCTGATGACTCTGGATCAGTTTGTGATTTGATGGAGGACCCAAGAAAGATTAAATTAGTATCTTCAGTAAGAGCTGGAAATCCTGAAGATACTCTTGTTAATAGCATGTCCACACTGCAGAGTTTTTCATGGTTATTTTAGTCCTTTACCAAAATACACCTCTGTGCTGGTTTTGGTTAATATTCTTCATAGTAGACAATATGGGGCTATAGTTCAGGTTTGTACTGGAAACAGTGTTGGTAACTCAGGGATGTTTTAGCTATTACTGAGCAGGGCTTGCACAGCATCAAGCCCTTTTCTGCCGCTCACCCCACCCCACCAGCTGAGGGTGCACAAGGAGTTGGGAAGGGACACAGCCAGGACAGCTGACCCCAACCCACCAGAGGGATATCCCACACCATATGGCCTCATGCTCAGCATATAAAGCTGGGGGAACAAGGAGGAAGGCAGGGACATTCGGTGTGGTGGTGTTTGTCTTCCCAGGTCACCATTACATGTGACATTTCCCAGCTTTCCTGCAGGTGGTTGAACACCTGCCTGCTCATGGGAAGTGGTGGATGAATTCCTTGTTCTGCTTTGCTGGCATGTGTGGCTTTTGCTTCGCCTGCTAAACTTTATCTCAACTCATGAGTTTTTTACATTTATCCTTCCAATTCTCTCCCCCATTCCATGGGGAGAGTGAGCAAGTGGCTGTGTGGGGCTGACCTGCTGGCTGGGGTCAAACCACAACAATTTCCCATCTCTTTACTTTTTTCCGTAGAGAATAATCCAAGTTAGACAAGGAAGGCACCTATTTTTAAACTAAGAAGATAAAACAAACTCTGGATTACTTTGTTCTTTTGAAACGAAACATGTTAGAAAAATAATCTTATGTCTGGTGTTTTTGTATCATTTCTGTGGTAGTTCCCAAAAAACTACCATGTGGCATAAATGAATCACAAACATGTTTTACTTTTGTGTTAATGTTAGTGGCATTATTTATGAGGCCAGAATTATTTGGGGTCCTGGAAATTTGAGTTCTGTGGTACATTACGGTACTCTGCAGTTTCATACTAAATTCTATGTGAACAAGACTATTTCATTTTCTAATTCAGAGCAAAAATTTGCTCCAGGACCTTGCATATGTGTGTATGTGTGTGAAGACATTTTGCATAGACCACAATGCACCCTGACTCAAAATGTGTTTTAGAAAAGAAATCCAGAATTTCTATCTGGAGAATAACAGAAGAGGGGGCGGGGGGAGTTCTTTTGTGTAAAGGTGAACCTTTTAAATACCCTGCATCAGTACCATGCTGGAGGAAGAAATCTGGAGGAGGAGGCAGCTGCAATAAGCATTCCTTCTCAGTCATTGCGTCAACCTAAGAGAAACACTGATTTCATTTTTTTTCAGTTACTAGTTTAGGTGCTCAACTCAAAGGGAGGAGGTCTGTTCTGGGATTTGAGTCCTCAGAATGAATCCAGGTGATTACCCTGGTAGTATTCACAGCAAGCAAAAAGAAGTAAATGTGTAGTTCCACTTAATTCATGATCACGGTGACTGTGCTCTTCATAGCGTGTATTTGCACAAGGGCTGAGCATTTTGGATGCATTAAATTAATGTTTAAAACAAAAATAATGGTCTTTTTTCTGACTTCTGTTTCTGTCGATCAGGTTCATGTAACTCAACAGTACACATAAGGCACCTCATCACTGGCCTAAAACTTTGCACCTCAGGAAAACCTTAACAAAAGGTGGCTTTTATGATCCATATAAATTAATCCCTGATCTTACATGTGTTAGTACTGAATCTGCTTCTACTTTTGATACACGGATGTACAGGAATTAACAGAAATTTCTTGAAACTTGGAAAGTATGATCATTCTTTGTTCTACTTTGAGAAGGTCTGATGGTGTCACTTCCTTTAAAAGGAAACTGTCAAGCAAGCTGATTTTGTTTATATGGTTTTTTCCAATATCTTCATAATTCAGAGCAGCTGCTTAAAATGTTAATCAGAAATACCTTCCTTTCCCTACTTTGCTCTTTGGCCTATCAGGAAATTTTTATAGCTTCATTGATGTCTAGACTGTAAGATCTATGGAGCAAGCAGCACCAGCATCCTTCCTGCAGGAGCGAAATGCAGTAAAAAGGGGTGCAGCAGTCAGATGAGTTTTCATGCTGGTGTAACCACTCCTGTCCCAAAATGTGGCAGCCAAGTGCCAAGATGAATCCCAGCCAATGCGATGCACAGTGGGGCAGAAGGGTGCACACATCAGGGACATGTTTTTTTTTTCCTGTCAATGGCACTGCCAGAGGTATTGTTGCTTAACCTTGTCTCTATACAAGAGGAGAAAATAATAAAAAAAAAAAAAAGAATTATGACTGTTCATTCATTCTGTCTCAGTCATTGTAAACTGCCTGCATCAGGTCTTGATCAGTTTAAAAATAAATAACTGGCATTAAACATGGAATGGTTTTGGTTGTGGTCCTCTTTTGACTAGAAAGGAAATAATTTGTACACTAAAGTGCAGCCTAAAATACATGTCTGCAAATTTCATCTTTAGCACACTGACATGACATTTTACTATGCAGACTAGACTGGCACAAAATACAGATTTAACAGTCCAATAAAATTAGCCTTTCTGTCTGAAACTTGAAAAAGGAAACTGCTTGGTAGGGTACTTCTTCCTCTGTTATTTTGTTTTCCTGTCCTTACAAATACAGACAGCCTTAGCTACAGTATAAATAGACACGGTGAATTTTATTGTAAAATAATTGCCACACTTTATTGGTACAACACTTTCACCAGAAAGGGTTATTAAATAAATACTACAAGCAAACAAACACCTGGCCTCTTACTGAAGATTATTGACTCAGAGAGCTTCTGACTACCCACTCAGACAGCACAGGCTTAAACCCCTCTATATTGGTTTATGAAAGCAGAGCACAAATCCGGAGTGTTTTCTTCATTTCTCTTCTTGAAGAAAATCTATTCTGCAGTGCACCGAGAAGGAAACATCTCATCCTTACAGCAGACAGAAAGCACCACTACACCTGACTGCAGGCAAACTAGGTGGTGACTGGATGCCCCAGTGGTGATGTGCCTGCCCTTACATTTCCAGGGTTCTGCCCTGCTCACAGTGAGATGCAGGTAAGAGCAGAGTGGCTGTCACACACTCTGCAGTGGGTTCCTTTGGGAAGTCTAGTGCCTGCACAGCAGTTTCCAGAGATTTCTTAGAAACAAAATAAAAGCCTACCAGCTACCTAAAATAAATTCTTTGTTCTATGGTGCATATGGTGGAGGCTTTTCCCCAGGCAGGCAGTAAGTTGGTGTATATAGGGCTGGAGCATTCGGGGGAAGACCATAGCTGGAGCTGGACTGAGATGGAGGCTGAGTTTCTTCTGATAAAGAAATGTCAGTAGATGATGTGCCAGGAAAATTGTTGGCAGGCTGTATGTAGACAAAAGAAAATACCTTCTTCAGTAAAGGGTTACAACCCCATTGCAGTTCCATTGTTTTTGACCATGTAAGTGCTAGATAATAAGCCCCATGATTAAATTTATCATGCATTGCAGCTCAACATTAACTTCAGTTCTAAAGCACCTGCTTAAGTCTAGCAATGATGGTGTCTGGTGAAACAAGACAGATTCCATCTGTAACCTAAGTGATTTTTAATAGACATTGTGCAGACAGCTGGGCAATAGAGCAGAA